GCATGGACTCCCAACATAAGATAGTTCAAAACTGAGTGGCTCTCCCCATCATTCGAGGAAGCTGTGTGCTGCCATGGGGAACAGCACCCCTACCATCTGGACTCCTACCGGACAACTGAGAGGGAGGCTGGGGAGGGGAGGGACAGCTCAATGGCTCACAGGAGGTCAGCAGGAAGGCGGGCTGTGTCTCCCCAGGGCCGGCACTGGCTTCAGGGGTCTGCAGACACCACTGGCTCAGCTTGCTCAGCGAGGTGCCCAAAGGAGGCCCACCAGCTCTGCCAGCACCTCAGCCTTCAGCAGATAGATTTGTGCCACTGAATATTCACAGAAATCAAGAAACATGAGCAGCTGATGCACGGCACCGTGTGGATGAATCTCAGAGACCACGGAGCAAAAGAAGCCAGGCGCAAGGCTGACAGTTCATGCAATCCCAGAATGACGGATCTCTGGTGGCAGAGATGAGAACAGCAGGTAGCTTTGGGGGGTGCCCACGGAGGGGGCTATGCAGTGGAACTTTCTGGGCCCTGGAAGTGTTCCATAATTTGCTGTGGGTGGTAGTAGTTACGCGAGTTTCTATGAATGTGAAAGCTCAGAGTGTTGTAGGCCGAAGCTCCGGGCGCCTCACGCGGGCCATGCAGCAGGTCTCTCTGCGACGGCTCGTCCTGCGCTCCGTGATGCGGCTGCAAACACTGACTCCTCTGCTCCCAGGGGAAATAGAGGGCCAGGTTCCTATGAGCCTCCGGTCCAGCCTTTTCAGCTGCCAATCTGTACACAATGGACTTATTTATGTGTTTCTGTTAATATACATCACTGAACTCCCGGCCAAGAGCACACACAGCTACTCATGCCTGTAAAAGCCTTTCCAACACACGGGTTTTCTCCATAGGACACGTCACCTCAGCAGCAAGTATTGATCTTATTTTATTTCACTTTCAAGAGATGCAGACTGTTCCTAAGCAAGTACTGGTTTTAGGTTTACAAATCAATTTCAGTGAGTAGACAAATTTGCAAGTACAGAACCTGCAAATAACCAGATTCTACTGTATGTGTGTGCAATATTCAAAAGAAGAGGACAGAGCTCCCTGCCTGCTGCAAGCCCCTGACTGACCGCCCTACCCACTGTCCCTTCTAAAAACAGCAGCCTGGTCCCAGCACCTGCCTGTCCCACCCCAGACCAGGGATAAGCCCTGACCAATGTCTACCTCCTGCAGCCAGACACAGACAGGCTGACTCAGGTGCTCTTGGAGTTTGAACTGAGAAATGCACGAGAAGTTTGCAAGATGTTGAGAGGCATCACCAGGGGCTTCTGAGGCCCCAGCGGCAAAGCTGCCAGCTACAGAGCGAAGAGCTGAGGGAGGGGCAGGGATGTGGGAAGAAGGACCTGGCTGGAGGTGACTGGGGGGTGGGCTCATGTCCTTGTCAGCAAGCACAGGATGGAACAGCTGCCCAAGGTGCCACAGCTGGATGGGTGGGTGGGTGGGTGGATGGATGAGTGGGTGATGGGTGGGTTGGTGGGTAGGTGAATGAGTGGACAATGGGTGGGTGAGTGAATGAATGAATGGATGGACAGATGGATGGATGAGGGTGGGTGGATGGGTGGGTGGATGGGTGGGTGTGTAGGTGGAGGAGTGGATGATGGGTGGGTCGGTGGGTAGGTGGGTGGTGGGTGGTTGGATGAGTGGATGGATGGGAGGATGGGTGAATAGATGAGTGAATGTATGAGTGGGTGGGTAGATGGATGAATGGATGGGCAGATGGATGGATGAGGGTGCGTGGGTGGGTGCAAGGGCAGATGGGTGGGTAGGTGGGCGGATGAGTGGATGATGGGTGGCTAGGTGGATGGGTGGAGGATGGATGTGTGGACAATGGGTGGGTGAATGAATGGATGAATGGATGGGCAGATGGATGGATGACGGTGGATGGGTGGGTGGATGAGTGGGTGATGGGCGGGTTGGTGGGCAGGTGGGTGGTGGGTGGGTGGATGAGTGGATGGATGGGAGGGTGGGTGGATGGATGAATGGATGGGCAGATGGATGGATGAGGGTGGGTGGACGGATGAAGCGTAGGTGTGTGGGGATGGATGGGTGAATGGGTACACAGGTGGGTGAACATGGGTGGGTGGGCGTGTTTTCACTTTCATTCTGTAACAAGGTCAGAGATCATCTCAGAGCACCCCAGTAGGATGCAAAAAAAAAAATCTCAAAATTAAAAAATGATAAAAAGCATTCCGGGTGCTGGATTGACAAAGGAGATGAACCCATGGCCAGACCGCTGCTCAGGTGGGTCCCAGGTGGCCCTTCTGGGCCTGCAAGTGGCCACCTGCCGCATGTCCTGACTGCACGGCGTCAACATCAGGCTGGGAGGATTTCTCTCAGGAACGCCCACGCTGCCTGCCTGTTTCTAGCAGAAGTCAAGCCGGCGGTGCCAAAGCCTGCTCTCCCCCTCATCCCAATCTTCCCAGCAAGAGGTAGAGGCAAGCTCTCCGCAGGCCCGCAGTGCAGGGCCACCCTCGCACTCTCTGTGTCTGTGGCCAGGCACGTGTGCCTCTACCTGGGTGTGTGACAGCGCCAGCCTGTACCTGCATGTTCCTGTTCTCAGACATCTGGGCACCCACAGCTTTGGGTGAGCACGTGTGTACCCAGCTCTGAGGAAGGACCCATGCCCAGGCGGGGAGCCTCCAGACAGGCCATGGCTTCCAGGAAGCAGCTCCGGAAGGTGCCAGTAGTGGCCGCAGGTGGTGTGATTCTGAGGCCAAACTGGTTCTCCCTTCGACCCCAGGCCCAGGGAGCAAGCTCAGAATAGGGCCGGGATGGAGTCTGGGGGCGCTGGAGGTGCAGAGGGTTGGGGGTAAGCCACTGAAGGAAAATAGGAGGGGACCTCTGTATGTCTCAGAGAATCAGTGGTCAAGGCGGGTTGAACCCTGCTGCCCCAGGCAGGGGGCTTCAAGCCTGAGGGGAAGCCCCTTCTCAGTGTTCACACATCCACCATCCCAGACCTCTGACCTCAGCCTCCACCACACACACACACCCTTAACCAGGGCCAAAGCCCTCCTCTGCAGTCCCTCCCGACCCCAAGAACGTTTCCAGCCTCCCTCCAACTAACTCACATTCACCCCACCTTCTTCGGCCTGCTCTGGCCTGCGCTGGCCTCTCTGGACCAGGTGGCAGCTCAGAAGCATGACTGGGCACGAGGGAGACAGCCTCAGGCAGAGCGGCCCTGGGGGCACTGGGCCCTCCCTTCCCCCATCAGGGCAGGAGTCCTCACATCTGTGCAGCTGCAGAAGTGCCAGGAAAGGTGGACCCCTGGCCCACACCCAGCCTCTGGCTCCAGTCTCTGGGTGAGGCTCAGGACTCTGCCTTTCCCCCAGGCTGGTGGGCAGGGGAGGGGGCTGCAGGTCAAAGCTCACTGCCCACCAACCTCCCCACATTCTTCCATCCCCTGGATCTACAAACACACCCACTGACCAGGGCCTCTGCAGCTAGGCGCCAGCTCACCAGCTCCCAACGCAGATGAGTCAGCCCCGCCTGTGCCCTCCACCCTCACCCTCAGGTGGTGCCGGCAAAGGCACCAGTGCTCGGGCCCAGGAATGCATGGGTCCAGGAATGCACGGGGAGACCCAGGGCCCAGCTTGGGGCAGAGCAGGAAAGCCTCCTGCTCTGGAGGGGCCCTGGAGCCAGGTGTGGTGGCAGCCTGCAGGCCTTCCCGGTGCATTCCAAGAATTGCAGAGCTCCTGTCTAGGAGCAGCCGCCGCCCAGGTTGGAGGGTGTCCAGTGAGCGCCTGCCTTGGCTGGCTCCTCGGGCACACCCAGCCCTCAGGAGCTCATTCGGGGCTGTTGCCAGCAGCCGCTCCTGCACTGGGGCCGAGCCAGCAAACTGCCGGGGCTGGAGCTGCTGGGCAGGGCCGGGTGGGCACAGGAAGCAAACAGACGGCAGCCAGCAACTCGGGGCTGGTCCCCACACAGAGGGGGCGCACCACGGCCGCAGCAGGCGCAGCTGGCCTCAAAGCAGAAGCTGCTTTGGGGCTGGTCAGCCATGCAAAAGCCCTTCTGGCTGCCCTTGCCCTCGCCCTGAGCCCTGCCTGCCACTGCCCCCAGAGCAGGCCCTCTGGAGGATGTCAGGATGCCAGCAGAGACACTATCCGAATGTTCTTGACACTCAGGGAGCCCTTAATGGGTACTTGTTCTGTTTTACAGATGGGGAAACTGAGGCTCCACAGGGTCATATCCCAGCCTGAGGTCATACAGGGACTGCTGGAGCCGGTTCTCAGGGCAGAGTTGTGTCTGCTCCGTCCCACGTCACATGGGGCTCCCACAGGCCTGCCTTCCCCTGCTCTCCCTCTAGCCGCCCTCCCGCCAGTGACCCCCAAACTCCAGGCCTGATGCAGTTTCCTGCAGCTCTGATTGAGGGTCAGACGTCAGAAGGGACTTCCAGAGCTGGGGCCTGGCTCTCATCCAGCCAGGCTGGCTGCGGGCGTGCTCCATTCTGGTCAGTGTCAGGGATGGGAGGACTGGCGGATGGGTGCCCCCCAGTCTAGGAGACAGATGAGGCCGATAGCAGAGGGGTGGCAGAGAAAACCCACCCATGGCAGCACCTCCGCAGCCCTCACGCAGCTGCCTCCACCAACCGGTGAAGTGCGGCTGCCCAAGACCACCGAGGCCCCATCGGGGAGGAGAGGGGTCAGGAAGGGCTGCGGAGAGGAGGCCACACGGCTGGCCTGGTTGATGCGGGGGCCCTCTGTCCCTGAAGCCTGGGAAGAGACAGCTCTGCCGAGGGATCCCCGAATCTGGCTGGCTGGAACAGGAGTCCTGGCCGGGGCAGCAGGAGGTTACCGGCACCGGGCGCGGGCCTGGAGGATGTGGGGTGTAGGTGGACGGGAGGCGGTGGGGGGCAGGGAGGGGGCGGGCGGTGGGGGGCAGGGAGGGGGCGGACGGTGGGGGCCCAGGAGGGGGACGGCCCCGCTCCGCGCGTCCCACCCCCGTCTCCGCGCATCAGGAGCCGGCGCAGCGGGGCCGAGAGGGGGCGGCCAGGGATTCACGGGCGCGGGGAGACCCCTTAACGCGCCCTCAGGGGCGGGCTACGGTGGGCGGGGCCACCCCAGCGACCCCTCCTCGGCCCCGCCCCGGCCCGCGCCAGCTCCCCACGTGGCCGCTGACGGGCGGGGCGGCACCTCCTCTTCCTCCCGCCCGCCCCGCGCCCGCTGGGAGCCGCCGTCCGAGCAGCGCCAGCGCCGCAGTGGGCGCCGGCTGCCCGCAGCCCCTGACCCGGCCCCGGACGGAGCGCTGGCCGCGCCGCCGCCTCACCCGGTAAGTCCTTGGCCTCGGGGCCCGCTAGGAGCCTCAGGGGAAACTGAGTCCGGGAGGAGGCGGGGGTGCACTGGGGTCCAGGAGTGAGGCTCCGGGCTGCGGCGTGTGCCCCCCAGGTGGCGGCGGGCCGTCCCGCGGCGCAGGGCACAGTCCCGGGTGGGGACCCCAGGTCGCCCCTGGCCCTGCCGGCTCCTCGCGCCCCGCCCGGGACCCCGGTCCCCGGCACCGAGGCACCGCCCGAGCGCGCACTGCCCACAGAGTGGGCCGGGCCTACTCCCGGGGCAGGCGGGATTTCTGCGCCTCGCGGCTGCCACATCCTGACCATGAATCAGCCACAGTTGGGAAAATAAACTTCAACTCCGGGTCTGCCGCCCGGGTGGCACCCAGAGGTGCACGCCGGCCTGGTGCCCCACCCTGACTGCTTGGCTTCCAGCTGCCCACGGGCAAGTGGGTGCACAGGGGGCCCTGGTCCCCTCCGCTGGCAGGCTTGGAGGAATCAGCCTCCATCACAGCTCTCTGTTCCTTGTGGGCGGGGTGGGAAGCAACCTTGTGCGCCCTCACACCCACCCGTCAACCCTCTAACTGGGGAGTCGCCCCAGAAGTGACCGTGACTAAGGAGCGAAGCTGGGGTGACCAGCTGTGACTCTGCCCCCAGGCCGCTGTGGGGAACACAGGTGTGGGGGGATGGTCGGTCTGTCTGGGCCTTCTGGGGCTCGGGTTCCCCAGCCAGGGCTCTGCAGCTCAGCTGTGATCACAGCATTATCACCCACGCCAGTTGGAAGCACCAGGAGGCAGCCTGGCAGAGACCCTGCTCAGGCAGGGAACCAGGAACCGTGCCAGAGGTCAGGCAGGCCAGAAGGCACTGGACTTGGGAAACCCCGTCACTGCCAGCCCTCCCCCACTCTGGCACTGGAATGGAGCAGGGTACTTGCTCTCTTAAGGCCTCAGTTTCCACATCTGCACTCTGAAGGGTGGGACGGCAGCTCAGGCTGGGACCTGCTCCCTGCCACCCTTCACTGGGGAAGGTAGGGTCCCAGAGCGGCACTCCAGACCCTGAGGGTGCTGCCCAGCCAGGGGCCTCTTGGTCCCGTGTGCTCAGTGCCAGTGCAGCAAATAGCAGCATTGGGTTCCAGACCTGGAGTCTGAGACCTCACGCTGCTCCCACCCGCCCCCACCAGGGCAGCAGCCACTTTCTGTTCTAAAAGCCAGGTTGCTGCAGTGGGTCCTCCTGGGACCCGAGGGAGCTGACCCCTGCCCAGGCCCCGCCCTCCATCCCTGGATGGTCATGGGCCCTGCAGGCTGGCAAAGGGGGCCTCACAGGGCAGACCGGTGGCCCCTTGCGCCTGTGGCTTCCACAGCCGGGGCTCCTCAGCAGCTCAGAGTTAACCTTCAGGTGAGCGCCCACTTTGTGGAGGAGCTGACGGCTGTCAAGCTAATTACACTCACCGCACATGTGGGGACATGGAAGCTCCTACCTGAAATAGACTCTGCGCCTTCCATCAAAGTGCAGTTGCTTCCCGGGTTGGGAAAGTTCTGGGGTTCGTGCAGGCTGCAGGAGGGGTGGGTGGTGACTGGAAAGTAACTCGTGCTGCCTGTGGGTGTGGGCAGGGCGCAGTGGGCCCAGCTCTGGACGGGGACGGTGAAGTAAGCGCAAGCCCCTGGCTTTTTGCTGGTGCCTGGAGGTCAAGTTTCCCCGTTGTCAGGGATGAGACCTGACTCCCTGCTGCCAGGCCCCTCCCCTGCCTCCGTCTTGCAAATGGCAGGTGTGTGGTAGGTGTGTGGTTCATGGCCCAGTGGACACATTGCCTCGGAGGAGGCACACCCACCTGTTTCAGGATGTGGATGGAAGCCGGGGAGGAGAGGCCACACAGGAGCTCCCCAGTCTCTGGAGGGCCACCCCAGCGGCCACAGCAGAGCCAGGCCTAGTGGACCCCACATGTCAAAGACAAGGAGGCTGCGACCAGCTGGGTGGAAAGGAGAGATGGTTTGGGCTCAGGCTTCCGCCGCTGGAGGTGTGAGCAGGATTCAACCACCTGGCCCCGTTAGAGAGGCTCCCGCTCCTGCCAGCCTCACCCTAGGAGGGAGGGTCCTGCCCAGTCTGCCTTTGAGCACCCAGACAGCCTGGGTCCTGAGCCTGGGTGGGGTCTGTTCACACAGCTGCCCCCGTGCCCAGCCCTGGTGTACCATGGTGACCAGCAAGCCGAGAGAGCAGGGCAGACTGGTGGTGCCTGTCCTCTCGTGAGGGGTTGTCCTTTCTCACCGCCCTTTCTCAGCTGTAATTAACTAAGGAACCACAGGGACTGCTCAGGGTCGCCCCTCTTAGGGCTTATGTCAGTCCTGAGGGCCAGCCCCAAGCCCGGCCTGTCCACTCACCATTCACACCAGCCTCAGCAGGGTCTGTGTGCTGAGTGCATGGGGGAAGGAGGAAGGAATGAACCAGCCTGCGGGTCCCCACACACAGTCTCCCACCCTCATCCCTCCCAGTGAGGCGTGGGTCCTGAAGGAGCATTCAGCTCACAGATGAGGAAGCAGGCACAGGACAGTCAGGGCCACTTTCTACTCAGTGCCATCTGTTCTGGCAGGGGGAGCTGATAAAGCCCCTACTGTGTATGTCTGTCTTTGTGCCCAGAGGCTGGAGGCCAGCCCCACTCAGCAATGTGCCAGGCAGGCACAGGGCACTTACTGGGGGTCAGGGTGCAAACGGGCCAGCCCCACAGAGTAGCTGGAGGCTGAGGCTCCCCAGCCCTTGTTGCCACCACCAGGGCAGGCTCAGGGTCCTGGCACTGCCACTCTGGGAATAGGATGGGCCTGTCCTGGTCACATAGTCCTTACTGGGCCTCCAAACTCAGGGGCAGCGGGGGCGGAGGGCAGGAATAGGCCCATCCTCCAGGCACCCACCTGTGTCACTCCATAGCAGCTCATGCAGACAGACAACCGCCAAAGGGCCAGTCCGGTCCCTGGAGCCTTCCTGGCAGGTCAGGGCCTGGGTCACAGCCTGGGTGAGACAACCAGCCAGCCCGGACCCTGGAAACCCTCCCAGCTGGTCAGGGCCTGGCTCACAGCCTGGGTGAATGAGCAGCGTGAAGGCCCCGAGGACAGAGTGACCAAGAGCAAAGTCCAGGGCTGCTCTCCCCTTTGCCTGCAGCTTTCCCTAGAGGCAGCAGGGGAGGGAGGGGAGAGGGACCGGGAGAGTCCCGAGAGAAGTGCCAGGCTGCGCCGTCCCGAGCCTCTGTGCCCTCCGCTCGCTCCTGTTCTCACCGCAGAAGGGTGACTGGCTTCGGCTGGGGCACCCTGTCTCCCTCCGCCCCCACCTCCGTGCATTGGAAATGGCATGGAGGCCCGGGAGGAGGAGCTGGGCACCGCAGGAGGCCTGGCCGGGCCCCTGGCCACCGATCAGGGCTTTTGCGGGGTCAGGACATGGGAAGATGCTGCCAAGGCTCCTGGCCCTGGTGGCCTGGGCAGGGCCCCCCTGCTCCCTCGCTGTGATGGCACGCTCCATCCACCCCCTTCCCGTGACACAGTCTGAGCACCCCAAGGTCCAGGGTGGGAGAGGTGGGGTGGGGCGGATGGATGGCTGACCTACTGTTACAGGGCTCTGCCCCAGGCCACCTCACAGTGAAGGCAGAGGCCCCAGGCAGCCCTTGGTGGCCCAGAACTCGGCCAGGAACCACACCTAGGGTGGTGAGGACAGACTGTCTGCTTCCCATTTTGCAGATGAAGGCTAGTGTCAAAGCCTAGTGTTGGGGTTAACCCAGGGCACAGCTGGGAGGGATGGGGAGGGAACCAGTGGCCGGCAGAACACACAGCCCTGGGTAGCAGCTTCTCTGCATCACCCCTGACCCCCTATGCAGCTGCCGTGGGCAGAGACCAGCCCCAGCCCCTCGCTCTGCCCAGCCAGTGGCCACCCAACATGCATGGAGTACCAGTGGACATGGCCAGTGGTGCAGGGGTTTGTTTGTGCCTGAGCCGTCCTGGCCCTCACCGGGTCGGGGGTGGACGTGGCCAGCTGTGTGAGGAGGGCCAGCCTCCCACTGGCCTCCATCTCCCCATCTGCACCTGGGTCCTGGCGGGCCCTGGGACGTGGCCTTGGTGTGCAGCCTGCCTGCCCCACCCTCTGTGCCCTGGGTCCCTGTTCCTGCTCTAGACACAGCTCAGACTGTCACCTGCACGCAGCCTAGGCTGGGAGGAGGACACAGAGTGGAGGTGAGGGAGTAGCCACCTGTCCCCACCTGCCTCTGCTTCCACCTTGTGCACAGATGGGAGTGGCCTGAGAACCGGAGCCCCTCAAGGTCACCCAGGGCCCCTGCCTGTGCCTCCATGTGCAGAGACTCCCTGACACCCTCGTGTCCCAGCAAGCAATGCCAAGCGGCACACTGCACCCACGCTGAGGATCTTGTTCGCCCGGTCGGGCCTGACGGGCTCCTTGGCACTGGCTGCCCAGAGCAGAGGTTGAGAGACGCTGAGCAGGGCCTGGGGAGACTCATGCAATGTTCCAGCTCCGTCCCAGCCGCCAAGCAGGAGGTGGGCCGATCGGCGGGGCAGGTGGTCAGGGCATGCGCTGTGCGTGGTTGCACGCTGGTTACAGCCGGCGCCTCGATCTGTCAGTAAGCTGCAGGGTTGGCACTGACATGGTCATCCCCATTTGAGGACAGGAACCAGGAGATCCTGTGGGTCACAGGCTGGTCAGCAGCAGAGCCTGGTGGCGCTCACAGTCAGAGCCACCCCCACCCTGGGCCTGGCGGCAGCCCCTGGCCGTGCTGGCTGCTCAGGCTCAGCCTGTCCCCCACTCTCAATCTGTCTTTGTTCTCTCTGCTCCTGGGAAGGCAGCTGCTAGCTGGGATGTGGGCTGGGGCAGGGACAACGGAGCCTGGCTTGTGGGCAGACAGCGGGCAGCCCTCCTGTCCTGGCATGGTCAGGGTGGAGGCTGGACACCCTAGGGCCCAGCCAGGCACAGGGCAATCAGGACCTGAACCCTGAAGCTGGGACCTGGCTCCAACCAG